ATACTATTCTGGGGGGGGGGGGGGTCCTTATTATAATTAGCCATAGTGCTCTTGGGGGTCCTTGTTATAATTAGCCATAGTGCTCTTGGGGGTCCTTATTATAGTTATAGCATAATGGACCCCAAAACCCTTATTAGAATAAAGGCCCCTACATTGAGTTTTGAATTGAAGATTTATTCGCTTTCGGGTCTAGGGCTTTAGGGTTTAGGGTCAACTTCCAGTGCTTCGGGACATGTTGGACGAAGCCCATGGATCTACACCATCATCAGCAAACCTGCAAAAGAACTCCGTGGTTCTGAGTGGGGACTAGGCTGATGGATCTCTGAGATAAGCCCTGGAAGTCTCTTGTAGTAGTCCCAATAGTCCATTCCAAATTCCCCCATTCCCTCCGTAAACCCTAAACCCTAAACCCTAAACCCTAAACCCTAAACCCTAAACCCTAAGGCCCTAAATCCTAAACCGAAAACCAAGGAGACAACTCCTCGGGAGAGCCCACGCTGAACCCCAAACCTTACACCCTAAACACCCCGCAGGGAAGTCAACAGGGGCTCAGGGCTGGGTCCAGAGGAAGTTCACGGCTTCGGGTTTAGGGTTTAGGGTTTAGGGTTTAGGGTTTAGGGTTTAGGGTTTAGGGTTTAGGGTTTAGGGTTTAGGTTTCAAGGTTCAGGGCTTTTAGGCCTTTTAGGGTCTGAGGTTTCGGGTTTAGGGTTTAGGGTTTAAGAGATCTAGATCCCACGACAGACTGTTCAATCCTCTTCTGCATTCAAAAATCCGAACCATTCGCATCGCAAGTGCATTTCCAAGCTCACACTCCCCTAAACCCTAAACCCGAAACCCTCAAACTCAACATCTGACACGGGATATAGGAGCTTCAGTACTCAGAATCATTAGGTTTTTTTGGCAAAAAGGGGTTTCTGCGAAGAGTTGCTACAACGGCTTGCTACTGGGGCATTCCTAATAGACTAGGCTTGTTGGGTTAGTTGTGAATGTATGTGTGCAAGACTCTGATTAGATACGAACTGAAGAGGAATATCGTCATAAACTATTCCGGTCTCTGGTGAAGAAAGGAACCAGTTATAAGCAGAGCGGGCGATTGGTACACCACCCAGTTGAAGTCTATTGCCCTGCTTGTGAATCTGAACCTCTGAGCATACCCTGATGGCTCTTCCAAGCATATGTATGTATATATATATATATGTATGCATGTAGATGCATATGCATATATATATATATGTTGTATGAATGACAAGCAACAAAACTAAAGGCCCTTGGTCCGGGTCGCTCTTGATCCGGGTGCCCTGGAGGATTTGATCATTGGGGTTGCGGAGGTTCCACCTTGGAGGGGTGTCGTTGGAGCACGAGGAGGAGGCCAAGAACGTCTTCTGATGATACTGGGAGGATCATGGGACTTAGTAAGCAAGGTTCTAAGTACCCTAATTGGGATTATAATTATAGTTACCTTATTTATAACCCTAGTTACTAAGCCCCATGATCCTGCAAGGGGGGTCCCCTAAACCCAAAGCCCTACACCCATTTTAAGACGTAGTGTGTTTCAGGGTTCAGGGTCGTAACCTGAAGGGCTAGGGGGCAGAGGTCGTTGGCCTGGTCGGGAAAGGATGTTTTTGGGATGCGATGATACTTTAGGTCGTTTGGTGGTCCACCTTTGATGTGTTTGGCCAACAAGGCTGTGGGTAATGCGGTTCGGAGCCGGCTGAAGCGAGATTGGGCCAGACGCACTAACCTTTGTACACCCCCAAACTACGGATGTACTTGGGATGCTCCGGGAGTGTTTTTTTGTTATCCACCGCGCCATGAAGCCGCCTGCATCCGTGAGGACCAGCGTGCCGTGACCTCCTTCAACTTGTCCGGGAAATGCAGCACACAGCCGCTCACCGAAATAAGAGCTCTTTCAGGTCGTTTTAGGATTCTGGGAAGCAGTGCGTCATAAAACCCTAAACCCTAAACCCTAATGGTTTTGCTCTGCCCCCAAGCTGCTTGAGACTTCGGCTTCAATCGGCCTCAAATCCGCGAATTTGCAAAGGCTTACACCTCTTACTCGACACGAATGGCGCTAAATTAGGGTCTACAATAGTGAAAATAAACAGGTCTAGGGGGGGATTGGGCTGGATCCTAAGCCCTAAAGCCGAAATACTGGGGAGTCTCCGGAAATCGTGAGTTCCAAACCCTAATCCTGGTTCTTGTTACAGAACTTAGCTTTAATGTACCATCGTAGGGAACTATAGTGTATAATAGGGTTTCCTCGTTCTGACAACTTCAAGTAAGTTCCTTAACATGAGCTCAGAATTCTACATAGTTCGATCCTGACAAGCGGACCCTTTATTCTACAAGCACCATAGACATCAGATGTTGATGTGTCGTGAATTGGGCTTCTATATCGTGTCTCAAAGAACTACAGCTGGGGCTGACTGACAATTCTGTGGGTTTGTAGAGTAGGTGCGCAGCACATGATTTCTGAAAGGAGCCGGAAACCCTTTGGAGGTCCCTAAACCCTGAACCCTAACCCCTCAACCCTAAACCCTCAACCCTCAACCCTAAACCCTAAACCAGGAAACCTTCCAGCTCTCCGATTTGAGGCAGGAGTCCGGCTGGAGCTGCGGGTTTAGGGTTTGGTATGTAAGGCTTTGGGATTCAGAAAACCACGAGTTTGGTATTTATAGGGTTTGGGGTTTAGGGGTTTAGGGTTTAGGGTTTAGGGGTTTAGGGTTTAGGGTTATAGGGCTTTGGGTTCAGGGCTGAGGATTTGTGGCTCAACAAAGAAGGGTTTATGCGGTTTAGTCAGAGGTTCGGACCGAGCCCTGCATCAGACTTTTGGCCCCGTAAGCCCCAAACCCTGATTAGGGCTTACCCACAGGCCCCATAGTAGTTCCTTTTTGGGATTACCTAATGGGATCCTAAATACAAACCACAAAAAGGAACTACTATAGGGCCTATGGGTAGGGTTTAGGGGAAGCAGAAGCATTCTCGGGGTGCTACCTGCGGCTCGGGAAACCGGCGGTTTTACGGGTATACCGCGCAATGAAGGCGTCATAACCTACCCTTCTGTAGGCCCTCAAAATCCCATTCTGACAGTATGGGGCTTTGAGCAAAAAAAAAAAGCGACCCAAATAAATGACCCCCAACATAGCAAGGGCGAGTCGCTGTTCCATGGTGGAATCCGTCAGCACAGAAGTGACCTTCAGCGGAATCCTAAGCCCAAAACCCAGAGCCCGAGACCTCAGAACCCTAAAGCCGTTTAGGGTTTAGGGTTTAGGGTGTACAAGCCAGAATATTAACCAATACTACGGTTGATGGTATAAACCCTGCATTACCCATAATAATGAATATACCATAATTCCTTAAGGCAGTCCAGGATTTATATCATCAACAGTATTCCCTAGGGTTCCTTGTTACTATAACTCCGATATTAAAAGGAACTCCGAAACCGTCTTCGGCTCAATAAGGCCCCTATATCAGACTTCAATCCCCACATCCAAAGCCCAAAAACTCCCTAAACCGCTAAACCCCTGAACCCTAAACCCTCGAAGTATCGCGGCTCACTGCGGGATCTAGAGCTGCCAAAAAGGCAGGGGTCCTAAACGCCCTGGGTTTAGGGTTCACGGGTTTGTTTAGGGGTTTGGGGGTCTAAGGTCCAGGGGTTTAGTAGGTGTAGGCTTTACGGTGATTAAGAGGTTCCCCAGTACGTAGCCCCTTATCAAGAAGGGCAACCCTCTGTCCTAGTCTTTGGTTGGTTTGAAAGAGAAGACGCCCAAAGCAAAAAGGGCAACTGATAGAACTGTATCAATGCAGACCCTGATTGGTCAACCACCTGTGCTGAAGGATCCTAACTATTCTTCAGAGCTTGATGCCTAGGCTTAGGATTCAGGGAAACCCGTGAAAAAATAACCTCGCCTTAAAGGCCTCATGATAATGATCCCTACCTATAGTCTCCATTGTAGTTCCTTTTTTTGGTTTAACCAATTATATATTAAGGATTCTATAAGGTATCCCCAAAAAGGAACTACAATGGAGACTATAGGTAGATTCTAGATTCATCCTGCGGGGTTTGTGAACCCAGGGTTCACATTGCATTATCTGATATTGAACTATCTCGTAGACGAGGTGCAAGCCCCATGAGCCCCACTTCAAGCATGTTTGAGAACACGCAGATGTAGGGTTCAGTTTACCGGGTGCTTACCGTGACTTGAGACTGCGATGCAAAGGCAGCTCCAACAAGCGCCCTTGAGTGTTGACAGAATTGCTGTTTCGATTCTGACTATGAACCCCCTCCCCCTCAAAAAAGCGCCAAAACCTGATTCCTTAAACCCGCTACCCTTCGGATGTGCTTGAGATGTACAACGTTTAGGGCTCGTGTTTTTTTATTTAGGGATTCCCTTTTCAGTTTAGAGGCGCGGTCAAGGGTTTCAACCCCTCTCTCTGAGCTGAGGGCGAATGCAACGTCTGGGTTTAGGGTTTAGGGTCTAGGGTTTAGGGTGTAGGTTTAGGGTTTAGGGGTATATAGGGTTTAAGTAGGATCCGGCGGGAAAAAATGAAACTTGTCTAGTTAACTAATGCAGACGCCAGGAAGATTTCCAAGGAGGCTCTTGGAGAAAAAGACCTCTTTCGTTCTTTGAACTAGTTACGAGGGTTGCGAGTTCAGGGTTTTTAGGCTTTCGGGTTTGAGCGTACAGAGTGAATGGATTCTGGGAGTTAGCGTTGTAGACCGCGGTTCGAGACCCGTGCATCATTTCCCACACCACCAAACCTTATAAGAAATGTAAATTTTTTAAGACACCAGGTATCGGATAAAACCCCAAATAGTTAACAGCATAAGTGCTTGAGCCGGAGGTCAAAACAGAAAAGGATTTTGGGGTACATTATCGTCTGTTTATACATGGACAATGAAGGGATACAATTACAAGTTTTATTCATAACACAAAGTTCGGCAAGGCTCTTCCATGCCATTTCTTGAAGCTCGACAGTCTGTGGTCTTGAGTGGTTAGAAGTGAAGACTGCAGCTTGTCGTGCCAGCGAACCCCGGGACTTCTCTTTAGGGTTTAGGGTTTAAGTCCGGCTTAAGAATTCAATGCATGCGAGGCAAAGTTGTGGTAGAAGAGCCGAAAGGCCCTCGCTCTTTCCCGCGGGCAAGTCGTGCGATGGCACGGTTTTTCAGCGCGACCTTCAGCAGCTCAGCTCAGCGGCCGACTTTCGGCCCCTTCCGTCCGGAAAACGCACGGGTTTGCACCTTGGGGACCAAATGACCCTTATAAGTAGGGGTCCTATACCCTTATACTATGAATCCCTATATGGTATATGAACCTGAAAACCTTTTGGGGTTCATTTCGTCCTTAAGGCATTCTTACTGGTCGCATCAGGGTCGCCAAGGACCCATGTCAGCGACTGATTCAAGCGCTGGCTTTGCTGCACCAAGCATCCTTCCAAAACCCTGAACCCTAAACACCATGGATCTGGGTGTCCTCGTCGCCCAAAGTAGAAGCACGACAATCCGTGTCTCCGCAACTAGGTCATCAGGGCAACCGGCAAGCCCCAAAGCCCAAACCCTAAACCCGAAACCCCCTAAACCCAACGCCCTGTAGACATGAACCCCCACACGTCTCTGGAACCCTCTTTGAATCGCTAAGGTGTTGCCTTGGCCCCCAAAACCCGGGAAAGTAAAGAGACCCCAGCCACCCGCACAAGAAAGAATAAATAAATCTCGTAAGACCCTGTTCCAAACTTCGATAGAATTCCTAAACTCTATAAACCCTAAACGTTAAACCCTACACATAGACCCCACGAGCCCTAAACCCGAATTAACACCCTAACCCTAAACCTACCCATAGGCCCCATGGGTGTTCCTTTTTGGGGTTACCTTACAGGATTCTATGTATGAAAGCCAAAAAGGAACTGCTCTAGGGCCTATGGGTAAACCACACCCCAAAGACCCGTTGAAAAAGTCTGCTGCCGCGCGGCTACCAAGGCTTGCGGGTTGTAGCGCACGGTGAAGCCGAGTGGAACACCCGCTGCTTTCACCAGCATCCTTTTTTGGCTTTAGGCTTAGGGCTTTGGGCTTAGGGCTTTAGGCTTAGGGCTTTGGGCTTATAGGGCTTTGGGTTTGGGGCTTTAGGTGCTTCTTTGAGAGCTTGATGAAGTTTTGTTCAAGTTTTCACTCGGGTCTTAGGTCGTTGTTTTTTTGGGGGGTTAGGGGTTCGGGGTTGAGGCAGGGCTATAACCTTTATTTGAAGATCGGGATTTTGCAGGGGTTGCGGACTTAGAGTTTAAGGCTTAGGGTTAGGGTTTAGGGTGTAGGGCTTAAGGTCTGAGATTGGGCGATTTAAGCTTTCCGGAATTCAGGTGTCCCAATTCTGCGGATTCTCAATGCTAGCTACTAGCCCAAGAGCCGGCAAGCTCTAAAACCTGAACACCAAACCCAAAACCCTAAACCCTGAACCCTGAACCCTAAACCCTAAACCCTAAACCCCTCTAAACCCTAAAACCCCAAACCCACACCTTCAACTCAAACCTGATGAAGCAAAGCCAGAAATTGAACATCAAGGTTTGTCGGGTTCAGTGCTTTAGGGTTTGGGGCTAAGCCCTTCTTGTAGCCCCACATCCCCACGATGTATACAAGAAAGGGAGTGGCTCTAAATCTGAGCTTCCGAACCTCTAAACTAACAGGTGCTTGAACCCATAAGTCCGAAACCCAAACTCCCAAACCCTACTCACCACAAAACTCCAAACCCCGGCAACTTGGCTTAGGGTTTAGGGTCTAGGGTTTTGAAACCCTCAACCCGAAACCCGACACCCTAACGCCTAATGCCTAAACCCTAGACCTTAAACCTAAACCCTTAACCCTAAACCCTTAAACCCTAAACCTTAAACCCTAAACCGAAAAGAGACCTCGCAGCAGTCGAGGCACAGGGTCTTCGTCTCCGACGCAGCATTCACATGAGCCATCAGCTCGGACTTGGCAAGGGCTGCTGGAGATTCCGGGTTGGAGCGTTTAGTGTGTGGCCTTATGATTAGAATTCCTTATAATAACTACACCCTATTCTAATTATTAACCCCCCATATGAAGGTTGCGAGGGCGGTTTATTGGGTTCACGCGATTGGGGGTATAGGCTGTATAGGATTTAGGGTTTGGTGCTTTGGGCTTAGACTTTCGAGTTTGAGGCATGTTGGGGCTAGGTTTTGGATTGATTATATAGGGCTTGGGTTCGGGATGGGTATAATTTGGATCAGCTGCCTTCACTTCTTGGAAAACGAAACTCAAAAAAGGTCAAAGTCTACGCATTCCACTACTAAGTTCTAAGATGGCCGGTATATGGTTCTAAATCCTCGACGAACTACCCGGGAGTTTCGAAAAAGGGCCGTACCAGAGACCCGTTTCTATCTATCTCTGTCTCGATCCTGTATATCTATCTAACTACCTATCTATCCATCTATCGATCTATCTATCTTTCGATCGGTCTATCGATCTGTCTAGCTATCTATATATCTTTCTATCCATATCTATATCTATATCTATATCTATATCTATCTATCTATCTACCTACCTATCTATCTATCTATCTATCTATCTATCTTTGTATCTACCTGGTTATCAGCCGTTGCATCTACCCATCTATCCACATATCTGTCTATCTATCGGTCTATCTCTCTGTCTCTCTATCTGTATATCCCTCCATCTATCTATCTGTCTATCTATCTATCTGCCTATATGCTCGTCAACATATATATATATATATATGTGTGTGTGTGTATATGCATGTATGTAGGTACGTATGTATGTACGCATGTATGTGTATGTATGCATGTATGTATGTATGTATGTATGTATGCGTGCATTTATGTATGTGTATACATATATATACATATAAATAGATAGATACATGTTTTATCGTATATATACATATATATATATATTGAAACTGCACCGGTTCCTTTCTGTTTACGATGTTAAGATGAATGTGAATATTGTGTGCACCTATAGTGGTGGACCTATCTATCTAGCTATTGTAATCATATCAGAAACCCGCGAAGCGAAACTTCTAAAGTCTGGAGCCCTTGACGATTAACTCCGACACACCTATACAACCCAATAAGGCCCTATAGGTACGCCAAGAGTTACGCACTGTTGCAGCCCTTGTAAAACGCCGGAATGTCCCCTGTCAAGTGCCCTGCAAGGCGGCAGCGCAAGCGAGATACGGCTTGGATGGTCCTTGGTAGGTTTTAGGTATTCAATTTGGTTGTGGTGGTTTCTGCAGCGGGCAGTTTGGAGGCTCGAATGTCGCGTTTACGGGTCTATAAGGTTGAGGATTTTAGGATCTAGTAGGTAGCGGCGAATTGGCGGCCATGGCTGTCTTGATAGCTGTTTCTTCTTTGGCTTTTGGCTGGTTTCAAGCTTCATACATCTTTACAAGGTATGTTTACTAGGGTGTTGACCCTAAACCCTAAGCCCAGCATTACCACGACGTTCATGAATAACTGCACTGTTAGGGTTTAGGGTTTAGGGGTCTTAGGAGTTGCAGCTTTCTGAAGCTCTCCGGAATCTCAGGCTGACCTGAACATCTGAAACCATGACACCTGACACGGGGGGGTTAACAGTTTGACTAAGATGTTGTGGGGAGGGGTGCTTGTGATGTAGGGCCTAACATCAACGGAGCCTGTTTCTTTCTGTCAGACCTCTTTTGTGCTCGCCGCTTCAACATCTTGCTGCTGGAATGGCTTTTGATTTTGCGGGCCGTTCATGCAGCATAGTGGTGGAACTTTCTTAGGCTAAGGGTGTGTTCAAGAGTCTGCCCTTCTTCTCTCCCCTTCCTGTCGAACACGGAAAGGATCGCATATACCCAAACCTGACGGGTTGAGGGGGCGGGTAGGGGTCAGGGTGGGGTTGCGACTGAAGGTACGCCAGCTGAGAACCTGACATGTCTGAAGCGCGGGGGAAGAGTCACGAGAATCCAGGAGGAGTTTGAGCCAAGTTCTTCGGCAAGCATGGAGGGGCTAGGCTAAACTCTATAATTGTACTCCTCGTGCCCAGAGGATAGACCAACAAAAACAGAGGTTAATGTAGGAACCTGACTAAGAAACCCTGGGCCTTTATTTGGGGTTGTCAATATGAATCCTAATATATATTGGGGTCATAGGGCCAGGGTTTGTTAATCAGGTTCCTACATTAGGGTGTAAGGTTTGAGTGTGTAGGGAACGGAGCATGTAGGAGTTCATGTATCGGATCTGGGAGTTGCGGTTTGGGGGTTAGGGTTGACCTGCCCTTACTACGAAAACCCCTTTAAAGCAGTGTAGCGCCCTCTGAACTCCCAAAATCGCTAATCCCCAAAACTTAAAAATCTTATAAAACCCTAGTAAACTCCCAAGGAATCCCTGATCCCTAAACCCTAAACCCTAAACCCTAAACCCTAAACCTCTAATGAACTCCCAAAATCTCTACTTGCCACAGGAATCCCTACAGTCTCTCTGGGTCTGGCAGAATGCCTGTGGGCCAGGAACCTATTTATATATATATATATATAGAGAGAGAGAGAGAATGCTTTCTGTATTTATATATATATATAAGAATAAGTATATGGTTTCATATATATTATATGTACAGATATACTGAAAAAACTAGGATCCTTGGACTACACCACAAGCCAGGTCTAGATTGGACAGTTTTAACCAGAGCACCTTAAAGGAAACGGTGACAATTCGATTCTGAACGTTGTGCTTTTTTACGGCCTAGGTTGGTTGGGTTTAGGGTCTAAGGTTTAGGATGTTGTGCTTTTCTGCAGATCCTCGTGTTCGTGGGAGGCTGATCCCGAAGTCCTCTCTGCTGAGCCGTTCTTTTGCCACTGGCTCTGTCGAGTTGGGGTGGTCCTTTGCCCCACAGAGCACCGCAAAGAAAGCATGCCGGAAGATCCACCCTCCCACCTTCACACAAAGCCCTCGAATCCACATTCTAAAACCTCTAGCTTCACCCTGAACCACAACCGTACGTGGGAGTACCAGCACTAATCATCCTTGGTCACGGGTCGAGGACTGAGGATTTTGGGAGCCGAGACAGTTTGCGGCTCAGGGTTTAGGAGTTCGGAATTTGGGATTTGGGGTGCTAGGTTTGGCTAAGGGAAAGGCGGGCCCTAAATCAGCTTCGAATCCTTAGCCTGGCATGCAATGCTTCTGCCGCATTCTGTCGAATTCCATGCATATCGGATGCGCTGCATCTTTGACAAGAGCTGCAGTTACAGCTTTTCTCGCCACGAGGACTTTGCGCTTGCAGGATTTTACGGAGTTCAAGCTTGTGGGTGCAAGCACACAGTTGTCTACACGACATAGATGGCTGGATGCGCATGAGGCATATGAACTGCGAAACTGTAGCCGAGCATCATATGCAAACATCAGGTCATGGTAATGGTGATACGTTCTCGACTTTTGATTTTACTCATGCTTCTGGTTCTTCCTCTAAGAACTTCTACTTCTACTTCTGCTTCTCTACAACTTCCACCACTACCACCACTACTGCTACTGCTACTGCAACTGCTACTACTACTACTACTCCTCCTCCTCCTCCTCCTCCTCCTCCTCCTCCTCCTCCTCCTGCTACTGCTACTGCTACTGCTACTGCTACTGCCATTGCCACTGCCACTGCCACTGCCACGGCTACTGCTACTGCTGCTACAATACTACTACTGCTACATCGCTACTCTACTACTACTACTACTACTACTACTACTACTACTACTACTACTGCTACTACTGCTACTACTACTACTACTACTTCTTCTTCTACAAGAACTAAGCAGCCCTTCAACGACCAGTACTGAAGCCTTATACCACCACCCTATTCTAAACCGCAACTGCACAGCTTGTAGCAGCGCCAGGTCATTGACTTCCAACGGCCTGAGGGGTGACAGGGCTTTTGGGGGGTGATCCCTGCAGCAAGAATCCAGATAATTGGGATCAATTAGGATTCCCAGTATTGATTTGGCCGGTGTAAGGCGGGTGAAGCTTCCTAAGGATCCACGTGTTGCATAACGGGCCTAGGGGGGTTCATAGCCTTTATGCGGGGTTCCTTGCACGGCATCGAATTCTTGGAAATGTTGGTAGCGGTTCAGCCCGGCAGTACGTGTCCTGCTTAAGGGATTGTTAGGGAAAGGCTTGGACGTTTGAAAAGGCTCATCATATGTTCAGGGTTTTGCTGGCTGTGTGGTTTAGGGGTTGCGGGTCAAAGTTGCAAGTGCTTCAGGACGGTGTTGTGAGTTATCTTCTAGGTGAAGTTTTGTACACCTACGGGTTTTGGGTGCTGTGGCTTCGGAGGTCAGGTTCTGGTGGCCTTCCGTGACACTCTGCCGAGAACGAGCAGGTATTGTTTTCTAAGCCGAATAGTGCGAGTTTCGAGTCAAAGTTTGGAGTGTAGGGTTTAGGGTTTAGGTATGATCTTGAAGACTGCAGGTACTGGATGTCAGCCATGCAAGGGTCCCTTAGCCAGAGAGGCTGATCATGCTGCCCATGGTCTTAAGAAAGATTGCAGAAGTACACAAGCGATACTAAGTAGCCCACACATTGGTAACCCAATTCCTCAGAACCCCAAACAGCAAAGCACAATGCGGCCACAGCATCTATCCTTGCTTCGGCTTTCAACTTTTGTTGGCTTTACCCTATAAGCAGTGTAAACCCAGCTGAAACACAATAGTTTTAGTTTTAACGATCCTTGTCCATTCGGTTCATATTACAGCACACAGAACCAAAAAGGTAGCTTTAATGATCTCTTTCAATCTGGTTCCTTTTACAGTACACAAGGGCCAAGAAGGTTCCTACAGGACAGATGGGGTCAATGTCCTTCCCAAAGCCACCGGTTCACAGGTTCGACAAGACCATGATAAGCAGCTTATGATTATAACCCCCTGGCAAGGACAACTTAGAGTTTGAACCCCCTCAACCCTGAACCCTGACAAGGGTTCAGGGTTTAGGGTTTAGGGAGTTTGACCCTAAACCCTGAACCCTAAACCCTAAGAAGGCAAAACTCCAATGCGTGAGCAATCCCCAATCAGGCTGAGAGCTTGGTGCTTAGGGCGTGTAGGGTCCATAACACGAAATCTATTTGGAATCTATGTGTCTCAGTATCTCTGCCAAGGCTATGTAGGGCCCTTTGTCTACTACTTGCCCTAAAGTTTTGGTTCACCAAGCAAGTTTAAACCCTCAACCCCTCAGCCCGAAAGCCCTAAGCCCCAAAGCCTCATTTTGTAGGTGAGCGGCTCACAGCCCCCTTTGCCCCCTTCGAACGAGTCGAGACGTCAGGCTGCAATTTGCCGGCGTAGCACCTGGGAGCCCGTGGCTTCGTAGAGTTCAGATGGACACGGTTTTAGGGTTTAGGGTTTAGGGTTTAGAGTTCAGAGGTTTAGGGTTTAGGGTGTAGGGGTTTAGGGGGTTTATGGGTTTGGGGGTGTAGGGGTTTATGAAATTTAGGGTTTAGGACACGATTTAGGGTTTAGGGTTTAGGGTGTAGGGGTTTAGTGGGCTTTGGGGGATTAGTGGGTTTAGGGGTTTGGGGGGCTTAGGGCTTTAGAGGTTTGGGAATTCTTATCAGGGCTCCCCGCTATATATAGTTCCGCGAGATTGGTAGGGGGGGGGAGGGGTTTGCTTTCCTAAAGTCCCGATAGGAAATCTCTGGCTGGGCCAGGGTGCCCTCACGGCTTGTTGAGGGTGACGCTAATGGAAAGGATACAGTGTATGAATGAATGGCTCAAAACTGATAGCTAGGCCATAGAGAACTACGCGATTGCTATGATGTCGGGGTGCAGACGCTTTCTCAATCGTACAAGCGCAGCCGCCCGGAGCAACTAGCTTCACTCTACTACTAATGGTATAGAAGCTTCAATACGTCGACGAGTGGTTGGGGTGTTTTCCACAATATGATGAGTCAGAATAAGAAACCCCAATTAAGGTGATGATGGCGATAATTCTATGTATGTGCCAACAAAGGCGTAAACAAAAAGAAACTGCACCACACACCCCTCCCGAAATCTCACAAAACCCCGTAACTCCCAATTAGGACACTATCACAAAAAAACACAGAATAACAACAAAGAGTTGGAATTCTCGGCTCAAGATACGTAAAGTCCTGGAAGCTATTGGTCTGCGAGGTACCTACTTTTGTGTGTAGCTTACCTTATAGTAAGCATGCTACAGGCCCGGCCTCCGCGATGCTGGAAAACACGGTAGCTGAACATGGATCTATAGTTTCGGGTCTCGCTAGGCTTTGGGGTAAAAGGTTCAGGCATTTTCCGGGTTCACGAAGACTTATACCCGCAGCAGATGACCGAGCCTATGCAAACCCAACGCTGAACCCCGAAACCCGGAAGAAGGATCGTTGTTCTGCCCATAGGCCCTAAAGTAGTTCCTTTTTGGGGTTCATATATAGAACCCTATAAGGGAACCCCAACAAGGAACTACTATGGGGCCTATGGGTGCTTGCTCACACGCTCGCGCCTCGCCACCAGAAGCCAAGCTCCCCAATGCACCCGAGGCAGAAAGCCCAGAGAACAGAAAACGACGCTTTAAACCCCAGACGTCTAAACTTACCTAAACCCGAAACCCTAAACCCTGATCTCTGAAACCTAAACCCTAAACCCTAAACTTCTAAACCCTAATCCCTAAACCTAAACACCGAACTCGAAAGCCGAAGCCCGGCTGCAGATACCCTGAGCCCTAAAACGCAGTGCCTGCTCCAGCTTCAAAGGCAAGCCCAGTCGGGGCCAGTCCTGGTTTAGGGTTTAGGGTTTAGGGCTCTTTGTGAATGTCGGAGTAGGACTGTTGGGAAACGACGGTACAGTCCTACGCACAGATTTTCATACGGGCGGGCTATACCGGAACAGTTCTAGATACTAATGTTACTAATATTCATTCTTCAGACCCATGATGTATGCATGGGTAGCAGATCTCTACGAGGTAGGTCTGAATCATCTGCCTTAACCATCCTTAACCATTAGTTGTCTTATTGTAGCTTCACTTGAAAAGACGCCCCCCTCCCCCCCACAGGAATCATACTGGCAATTTTTGCAATCTTCAGGCTTCTACATTAAGTGCTCTTATGCTGAGAATGCGGATCGGCCTTGGTCTCTGCTTGGTTCCAGAAGCCCTGGTTGCAGCGTAGACACTACTCCTGAACCTCGAATCCCCAAACCCTAAACCCTAAACCCAGACCCTAAACCCCAAACTTTACTCAACAACCCTCTACCTCCATCAACTCTCGCCCCCATAGGCCCGATCAACCCCTAAACCGAACTCCCTATCCAGAGAGACGGGGTGAGCTAACTAGCAATGTCTGTTCTCCCCTTGAAGTCCCTCCGATCATCAAGCGGGTGCCCCTGTTTTTAAGAAGCTCAAAACATTCAAGCAGGGCTGAGGATTTAGGATTTAAGTTATAGGGTTTTCGGAGTTTTGGGGTTTAGGGATTTAGGCTTAACTTAAGTGTTTGGTTGTAGCGTCAAGGTCTGCGGTTTAGGATTAGATTTCAAGCATTTAGGGTTCAGCTCGACAACTTGACGCCCTAACACAGACTAGCGGTCTGAACAAGTCTATAGGACCATGAAGACAGCCTACCTGCCCCAACCCTTACTGCAAAATTTATACATGGGCTCTGACCCGTTCATTACGGGGTATAAGCCCTGACAACAATGGGCAGTTGGAACCACGCGTAAACCTAGAGCCTGGTAGAACTATAGGTTCACAGGGTTTAGGCTACCCTAAACCCTTCACCCTAAACTCCTGAACCCTAAACCCCAGAACCCTAAAACCCTAAACCCTAAACTCCTGAACCCTAAACCCTAAAACCCGAAACCCTAAACTCCTGAACCCAAAACCCTAAAACCCCCAAAACCCTAAACTCCTCAAACCGAGACAACATAGGGTTTAACGCTTTTAGGGCTTAAGGGTTTATGGGGCTTTTAGGGTTTAGGGTTTAGAGGGCTTTTAGGGCTTAGGTTGTATAGGGTATGTAGACAACATGCCCCTTCAAGGCCATGGCCACACTGTTCAGCTGCTTCAGGTCCGAGACCTCGATGACCGTTTGGGGTGTAGGGTTCAGGGTTTAGGGTTCAAGGTTTAGGGTATAGGGTTTAGGGTTGAGGGTTTAGGGTTTAGGGTATAGGGTTCAGGGTTTAGGGTTGAGGGCTTAGGGTATAGGGTTCAGGGTTTAGGGTTTAGGGTTGAGGGTTCAGGGTTTAGGGTTGAGGGGTTCAGGGTTTAGGGCTTAGGGTTGAGGGTGTAGGGTTCAGGGTTTAGGGTTGAGGGTTTAGGGTTTAGGGTTCAGGGTTTAGGGAAGTTCGAGAATTTGACAAGGACTCCGTGAGGGTTCTGTAAAACAAAAATTGTTGGGTGTGGGTCTATAATGGTTTCAAGGGTTAGTAAGGGCCTTACGGATCAGAATAAGTAACGGAGGGAACAATAACATATACTGTGGGAAGGGGTAGAGATTCTAAACACAAAAAGCAACTAAGTTTTCACACCTCAAGTGTGGTCGGGGTTTCAGGGTTTCGGGCGCAGGGGAATAGGGTCTAAGCTAGGACCATGCAGCTCACCATGCCCAAACGGCCGGGCCATGACCTTAAGTCCCACACCCTCGTAGCTCTTACTGAAAGATACAGAGAGAGATCGAGAGAGAGGGATAGAGGAAGAGAAAGAGAGAGTGAGCGAGAGAGAGAGGGAGAGGGTGACAGAGAGAGAGAGAGGAGAGAAAAAAAAAAGACATGCCCCGGCAAGGGGGTGGGCACCCGCGTTGTCTCCGCGTCCGAAGAGATTAAGACGCAAGTGGCGCACGGAGCTCCGAAAACGTCTTGGCCCCGCGCATCGCAGGAAAGCAAGACAAGAAAGCAGTAGGATCAGGTTACGCTTAGCGAATAGGAAGGAGTCAGTCAACAGCCGAAGGAAAGGTATGATTGGGCACCCGAGTCCGTTGTTGCACACTCCAACGCAAATCAGATCGCATCAGCGACAATGGTTCGTGTGGGCAGTAATGACCACGCGACCACAAGCCAGCAACCCTCGTCTTGTGTAGCTGGCCCAATATTCTGTGGTTCTCTTCAAGGCAAAGGGTGGCATCCCTTGGCGTGATACCCAAGCAATCTGCTGCAACCCACACAAGTAGGTCGCGGACTCCTAAAGTACCTGCCGCGACCTGAGTGTGCTCCGGCAGGAGTTGCAAGGTTGGGGTGGTAGCCTCCGGGCCACATATCCAAGAACAAAGTTGCGCAAGCTGGCACCTAGGAGATGCACTGAAGGAGAGGCACCCAACACAACTTCAACATTCGCTTCCAGATCATGGCATGCTTCCCCTCCCAACAGGTGGAGTGTGATATCTGCTGCCTCCTGATGCCTCGCAAACACATGCTTGACCTAGGATTCTGGGCTGTCATGCACACCTGGGCATGCCTGGAACGAGCAAAGCACCTGATGTGCAGTTGCGCGCTCTCTGTCGCTCGCAAATTTCGGAAGGGCGATGAGACGCCATGGAGCTCGCTAGACATGCGCGTGCGGGGCAAACGCACACAAACAGGTGGAAGGAACGAAGGAACCGGTGGTCCTAAACCCTAAACCCTAAACCCTTAACCTCTAAACCCTAAACCCTGAACCCCTAAACCCTAAACCCTAAACCCTAAAACCCTAAACCCTAAACCCCTAAACCCTACACTCTGCACGAAGGCTCCTGCCTCTGCCAAGCAAAGTTGTTGAATATAGGGGCCTTAACACGGTGTAGGGTTTCAGGGTTTAGGGTTTAGGGTTTAGGGCTTTGGGGCCCATTATGCTATACTTATAATAAGGACCCCCCTCCCCCCCCCAAAAAAAAAGTATTGGTAAGTATTTCGGCCCCTACATTACCCTCGCTTCAGAGCCATGAGGGAAGAGGCTACTCGACCAAGAACAGTTCGTGAGTCTAGGCGGGGTCTGCGAACGGTTTCAGGCTTCAGAGTCTTGGGATTAATATAGAGGCCTTAATATTAGAATAGGGTTCTGGGGCTCCTTATTATAACTATATAGTAAACACACCCCAAAACCCCAGTCTAACTACTTCTAAGGAAGTGGGGGGGGGTGCCAAGCAAAATCGTTTTACTGTTGCTGCTCCCAACTCGAACTTTTCGTCTTCCCTGAACTTAACTAGCCCAACACGCTAACCACCATGAAGGGCCTGTCTCATACGGAACGGATACCCTTATCCTGAAAGGTAGTATAGGGACCTTCATGATTAGAATAGGGTCTTTGGGAACTCTAGTACAACCATAAAGACCCTAATTTGAGGTCCTAAGGACTATAGTACTCGCAATCTCCAGACTGCTCGAGAACCCCAATCCCTAAACCACATAATAAACCCCTTACGTACACAACCCCTACTGTGAAGCCCCTGTAGTATCCTGAGGCCGGGGCCGTAGTGATCCAGTGCTCCTGCGCCAGACGCTTGGACTGGCGAAGTAGCTCTGCCTCGCCGTGTCAGAACCATGCTGTTGAGATTTGGGCTTCAGGATTTGGGACGATTTAGGGTTACAGGGATTGGGATAATTTAAGACCCAAGGGGTAGGCAACTTACAGTTTTGACAGGCTACTGCAATATAAGCCGATAGATAAGCCTTCATCCTTAGCTACTCAAGATGTGACTAAACCCTAAACCCAAAACCACGCCTAATTACCATGGCATGTCTGCCTTGGAGAGGACGGCTCAGGACGACCATAAACTGCAACTAAGTGTAAACCCGAATTGATATAACTAAATATAACAAACAACACATCAGTACACTTATATACATAAATATATATATATATATACACATCATGAAGTAGTTAAAAGTAATGGTACTCAAAACAATTCGATTAAGAATATGAAATACCATCACGATAATAACAACAATGATATACAGCAACAACAACAACAACAACAACAACAATCATGACAGTAGTCTTAATAGTAATAAAAAAAACAATACCACAATAACACAACTTGGTTACTACAGTAAGAAGAGTAACAACCAATGGAATGATTATTGTTATACTGATAACAAGTCATAAGTCTTATAATACTGTTTTTGTGATGACGAAAATACTAACCATCATAATAAACAGTCTCTAAAGATTCCTGCTACCAGTCATGATATGACGATATGCTGTCATCACCAAGATGAAGCTTTTAAAAGCAGGGTACTTCGAAGACTGCGACTTTCCATGAGGCAGTGGCTCGAAACTACCTATGGGCTGTTGTCCAAACTAGGGTCTCTTTTGGGTTCCCACACTTTAGGGTGCCGTATTAAGAACAGAGTTGTATAGGATTCTCAAAGGGACCGTGAACAGTTCCCCATATATCACTACTTCTGACCGACTGGCTGAGCACCCTGATCGCCCAATATCGTAGCCTGATTAATCAGCAGTAGTATGCCTTACGGCTCCTTACAATAACTACAGCAAAAAAAGACGTGAGCAACCATTTCTGCGTAGGCACAACTACTGCGCAGCTCGCAATGAAATTACTAACCCTTGCAGAAGATGAGCCCTACTCCCCTAACCCGTGCCCAACAGCCCCGATTACCTGTACATGTAATCTTCTGCTGGTTCCTCGTGCCGTAAGGTGCGGAAGTTCGTTTTACATGATTTTGTGTTTGCGATAGAGTTCTTTAAGAATCTCAAAGCTCATCATCCACTATGTACCCCTATTATCATCTCGCATATCCTCAATATGGTGACCCGATTGTGGTAATTTGCGCTACGATAGCTTCTCAATGTGGAGTGACTGTCACAGATTTGGCGAGCAACACAAAAACAACGGGGGACGGGCAGCAGAAGTCGTAGATGTGGCGAGGACAACCAGCACTGCCCTCCCGAGACACAGCAGCAGCAGCGGTGGCTGCAGCTGAAACATGAAACACTGATTTAAAGAGGAAGAACATCAAACACAAGAACATTTGACATCTCGTCCTTCAACCTCAAATCAGTGCACTTCGACACAAAAGAGCACCAAAAACCAAAAGCCTCGACCCCAAATCTGAAAGTCCTTAACGGCGACGTCGACAACACAGGAGCCCTAAGCCACCTGTCATGTAGACAGGATCTATAGTGGTCTCTAGATGTTAACCCACAACTTCGGACTTGAACCCTAAAGACTTAGACCCTACTACGCCTAAACCCGAAACCCTAAACCCTATTCGAACCCAGACTCCGGAATCCTAAAACCTCTAATCCCGAACCCTGTGGAAAGCTGGAAACCTACCTCCCGAAACTTCTTATCCCGAGCCCTCGAACTGGACCCTTTTTATAGAACCCATGAGAACCCTGTATATATATGATCCCGGTTCTCGGTTCACCGACCCCCCCCCCCCCCCCCCCCCC